GGGGGGGGGGGGGGGGGGGGGGGGGGGGGGGGGGGGGGGGGGGGGGGGGGGGGGGGGGGGGGGGGGGGGGGGGGGGGAGGTGTACTCCGGGGCGGAGTGAGGGGTGGGTGTGGTATAATAAAAAATACTGGTTGTATAGGGCTAGCAGCTAAAAAAAACTCTCTCCTGTTGTGCTTTGCTTGTTGGTTCGAGCTTTGATCGAGAAATCTCAAAAGCTTTCAAGCGTGTGATGGGTAACCAGGCTAGCACGGGAGGCACTGGTCGCGCACTAGGCCTTCGCGAACAAACATGTAGAGAGGCGTACAGCAGTACATGTCGCACCAATGGTGGTGCGTAGCAGCGTCTGTGTGTTGGTGTCATGTGCCCCTCTCCGCGGAAAGAGAGAAAGACAGGCCGCTGCGCTGCTGCTGCTGCAACCAAATGTTGATCTCTCCTCTCGCTTCCTCCGCCGATACGTAACAGCAGCAGTGTATGGCACACCCTTCTCCCGCCGTCTCGCCCTCGCTGTGGTCTGTGTCTCCCTCTCCCTGTTTTTCCATGTCTGGCTCTGTGTGTGGTGTGTGGTGTGCGAGGCTATCTGTGTTGGTTCAAAATCAAACGACGCCTCCTCTCGGTGTTGCAAGGGGCCAGAAACTTCCCTGCTTCAAGTTGGGTACCGACGCTGCACTATCTCGGCGCACCGAGCACGGATTGAAAAGGTAGCAGTTGGGGCAGCTCGGGCAAAATCTTACTTGTTGTGAACACGTCTTAGATTGCATTTTGGTGCCGAGATCGTGAAATGGGCTGGAATCTGCTGGGTAATATATCGAGGCTGGTCACAGACAGACAGACAGACAGACTTATTGAGCCCGTTTCCCCCCCCCCCTCAAACAGCAGACTAGTCTAAAGCAGTACCATCTGTACAGACCTTTCCATTTTCTGAACCAGAAGCTGAAAACCGGGAGGCAACAAGAGCGCGCAGCAGCAACCGCTTCTGTGGAGCCCTTGCACTCTCCGTTCAGAATACAAGCGATGAAGCGATTTTGAGCCACGTCCAGACGTATTTTGTATGCAAGGCTGGCGTATGTTTCCGACTTCACAACGGCGCTGCTGCACTTGGCTGACCCACAGGTATGGCGTATTTCCAATTAGCCCGGAAAGCTCTGAGTTCTCTGCGTTCGATTGGGCCTCACACTCCCCGGACTCCTGACAGCCCACATCTTCCGCTACCTTGTCCACTACCTGAATGGCGCGGTTGCCAACATGGCTGATAACTTCTCGATCTTTCGCTGAAAGCTACAATCCTGCTGAACGCCTCCCCTTGTCGTAAGCCCTCGCTCCTGGGGTGCTCAACAGAACCAGAACCAAAACCGGTGCACGAGGCTCACAACAAAGAGCAGAAAAAGAGCGACGCGGGGGCATGGCAGACTGTTTCTGATACTCAGCTCCACCATGCGACCAACAACGACAGCACAAAACACGTTGGCTAGACGAGGCCCATATTCCAGTCACGCCGAAACAGATATCACACCAAAACCCAGCAAAAACAAATACCAGCACAGACACGTACCCCCCCCCCCCCCCCCCCCCCCCCCCCCCCCCCCCCCNNNNCCCCCCCCCCCCCCCCCCCCTATGCCCACTGTTCCGATAGTCGCTTGTGCGCTGCCAGCCTATTTGCTACCCCTACGGCGGTGGCCATAGCTCCGAGCACCAGCGCGAGCAGGGCGTAGTTGAAGTTGGGGTCAAGCATGTCGTACGTCTTCGATGGCGCCACGCGAGCCCCGAAAATGTCGAGGCCCAGCGCCAAGACAAGAGAGGTAGATTCCAGCCCGGTTGGCTCGGTGAGGACTCGGTCTACGCGCTCGATAACCTATAAAGAAGAGACAGGAGTGGCGGGCATGCGGGTGGAGATGAAGGCAAAGGTTCGGGGGGGAGG